TGCCCCTCGAGGGCCGCCGCTTCACGGGCCAGCAGGCCGTCGAGTACGGGCTCGCCGACGCCACGGCCGCCTCGCTCGACGACGCCCTGCGCTTCATCGACGAGAGGCAGCTGACGGAAAAGGCCAAGGCCGGCGTCTACGGCGTCATCAAGACGGAGCTGCACAAGGACCTGCTCCGGGAGCTGCGCAAGGAGGGCGTGGACAGGGAGGAGGCCCGCTTCAACGAGGACCAGAGGCGGGAGGGCGAGAGGAAGGAGTTTGGGAAGGTGTGGTTTGAGCAGTGGAACAAGGAGAACAAATCTAAGCTGTGAAAAAAAAAGAAGAGTAAAGTAAAGTAAAGTAAAAGGAGCAAAGAAAGAGCAGAAACTTGACCATCATGGCACACTACTACATGTCATGTATGGCGTGTACTTAAATAGATGGGATAGAAGCGGCTTGGGTGTTAGTTACCTGCCATGTACATTAGATTCATGGTCCGACTTGACCGCTGAAAAACCACGCTTCACGGCAAATCCCCGCTTCTTACGAGCCACATACAAAAATTTTTACATGACACTAGACAACAAGGAGACAAAGGGATGTATATATGGGTATCATCTAGCCAGCTCTATCCAACCACCTCTTTTATCCTATACGTTTAGGCTTCCAACGGGCCGTGGCTCCTCGACACTCAATCCTTCGTCTTCTGCTGCCTTCTGGGCGGTCTTCTTCTGAGTATTGCTCTCCCGTTCGGCCAGCATATCCTTCTCCGCCTGTATCGCCTTGTTCCGTCGCTGCTCAATATCCTCGCGCCGCACAACTCGTCGCAGTGCTTCGCCAGCCTGAATCAAGCCGTCGATGCTAATTGCGTGTTCCGTCATGTGGTGGTTGATGTACGTGTAGACTCCTGCCGGCGTGTCGCATTGCAAAAGATTCTGCTCATTCAGCTTCAGCAACGCCAGCGCAATCTGGAAGAGAAACGTGCTCCCGTCATTAGTACACAGCACCACATCCCACACCCGGAAAAGCGCCTCGGCGCAAAGACAGTCCGTAAACACTGACAGGAACCACTGGAATGTCAACGCCTCGAGCTCGATCGAAAGCGAGTCGAGATGTGCTGACAGTTTGGGAAGCACCGTCGAGACAAATTGCCGCAACACTTGCTGGTCGGCCCGCGACGCCATGAGCGATTGGTCGTAGTAACCATGCGGTAGGATGCTTTCAATAATCGATGCCAGGATCCAAAACGCATCTTCTGCCGAAGGCATGATGAGGAGAAGATTCGCCGCAATCAGGTTCATGCCCTGGCAGTATCCAACATCCTTGTTCCGGCGCGAGTACGCAAGGAGCAGCTCGTTCAGCTTCTGTACTCCTGGGCCCTTTCGAAAGAATATGTTGTCTGTCAGCGTTCGGTGAATATCCATTTGAATCTGGCTGACCACTGCCGCATCATCATCCGCGCCGTTTTGTGCGACAAGGTCTTCGTAGTATCCGGGAACACGCAGCCCATTGGCGCCAGAACATTCAGACCAGACCTTGGCGCGAAAGGCAACAGGTATGCCGCCAAGCACCAGTGATTTGAATTCGTTCCACTTGGCCCGGCCCACCTTGCCCTTATTCCCCAGACCCGAGATGCCAATTATCTCACCGTCTGCCACCCGAGTCTCGGGTAGAATCACCGCGGGCGTCTCGTAACGAGCCTCGGCGACCGCTGCAGCGGCAGCCACGGCAGCCTGGCCTTCACGTCGGCGCTCGGCCCTCACCTTGCGAAGAAAATCGTTCCATTTCACCGTCTTGTCGCGCTGCAATGCGTCGTGGACATCGCTAAGCTGTTCCAGTAGTAGCTTAACCGGCTCCGTGTCTTCCTTGACGACCGCACTAGCGTTCGCGTCCCTCTCTGCGGGCTGCGTAGTTTCATTGTCAACTGCAGTTGTCGTGCTTGGCTGAGGAGGAACCAAGCCAGCGGTTGTGGGCACAATACTTGGCCCCTTGAACGGTTCTGGCTCGTGGATTTCGGGAGTCAAGACACCAGTGCCCTCCAATACCTCTAGTGCAGACGCACTAACACTTGGTGTATGGCTCAACAGCTCAGTAGGAAAAGTAGCAATCTTGAGATAATCCTGCCATCGCTTCGGCTTGCTGTCGTCTTCGACTCGTTCCTCGTGGCTGTTCGGGCTGCCAGGTCTGCCACCACTTGAGACGCTCCATTTAGGGCTTGGAAGGCCTTCAACAAGATTTGGAGATATGCCGGTGCGGCCATTGGTGAGCATCTCAGTCC